TTCAAGAAAATATATACATATCTCGTATATGAACGCGTGCGCGCGGTTACGCTTTCAGTCAAGCGACAAGCGACGAGCCACAGCGTCTTTGGAGTCATGGTAATCGTCATCATCATACATGCCTCCTACTCCAACATTTGTGCCTCCGTTTGCTCCAGCTTTTCCCTCCTTCTCTGCTCCTCCCTGGTTTTTCTTTCACAGTCAAAGTCATCATCATCGTAGCTGGTCGCATAAATGCATAAAAAGCGAAACGAAATTATTTGCATAAGCGGTGCAAAAAAAAGTGCTTCAATATCCCGATCATCACCACAGCAGCAGCAGCAGCAGCACCAGCAGCAGCACCAGCAGCATTCGCCATAGCAATTGTATCTCTTGGATGCATCTACATTTGTATTTATGCACGAGACAGCTCGGGGGACGACATCTGCATATCTTTATACTCCTATTCGGATTCGTATTCGCATTCGTACTCCGCATATGATGTACGATGTAAATGATGCTGTATTTTGTTTCTATTTACGAGGTTGTTGTCGCCGCCACCGCCGCCGCTACTCTTATATCTCATGGATTGTGGCTTCTATGGACTCCTCTTCGTTTGTGCAATGTTATTTCGGGAGTATTACTGCTTTCAGCTATGGAAATGATATCATATGCCATCAAAAGGTAGATTAAACCTTGGGGATAGTGGAAAGCCTTGGGGATACTCTGGGGGCTATATTTATATTTAAATGATGTCCTAAACACAGGGCAATACTAGTCATAGGAAGAAGCTCTTTGGCAAACAATCGGATATTCCCACCAGAATAGAAAGAAATATCAATTTTCCAACCATTTCCATTCACCATTCCATTCAATGATTTTCCACGCACTCCCATGGGAAAATGTGCTTCTAAAGTGCACTTCTACTTCCACGACAGCCATTTCCATGCAGTTTCCCAGCATTTCCTTTCTGTTTTTTTCCCACTGCCTTTTGCATTAAATATGAAAAATCAATTTCAGATGCCCTGAAACGCTCGACAGCGGCTGCAGCAGCGGGAGCAATATTCAGAGAAGACAAACCACAGAAAATGCTGAATGCTGAACGCTCGCTGAACCGCAGATACAAAAGCTAACACCACGACGAACATACGAATGTGGCACAGGGCATCCGCCCAGAGGGTCCAGTGAATGTAGAGTGTAGAGCGGGGGAGAGTGTAGCGACCAGGGGATACCTAGGGGGTCACAAGAGGAGATGGGAAGTGGAAGTGTATCTGTGAAAGTAGAGGTTCTATGGGTTTTTATTGATTTAAAGGATGTTTTTTTTTGGGAGAGTGGGTTGTCAGAAAGCAAGGAGGTATGGGAATGATTATATGATAGATAGATACATAGATAGCGAGGAATTACAACTAAGATATTGGGGGAAAACAGTGCCGTATCTTTTCAATTATGGATTCCACAGTGTTGACAAAGATCGATAAGATTGGGAGCACAACAGAGGCGCTACCTGCCTAAATCTTTGAAAATATTTATTCCTCTGTGTATGGAGAGCCATAGAAAGTCTTCTTTTCCTTAAATCATAGACCCCAACGAAAAATCCCTGCATTTTGGAGTCCTAGAAGTCTAACGTGAATCCAAAATACCCCAAAAAATCCATGGATTAGGGTATCAAAACGCCACAGAAGGTTGTGTGAAGTGCACCCCTGAGGCTCGGGAGGAGGTCACAGAACAAGTACGATTATACGATTATATAGTATATATAAAATATGTAGAAATATAGGAAAAGGCGATATGCATATGCATTGGCCAGAGGGGCAAGAAGAAGTGGGTGGACAGGAGAAAATGTACTCTGTCTCTGTCCTTCTTTATTAACACCAAAAGTTTCTATTTGCATAAAGTGTGCATCGGCTGCAGTTTTTGTTTTTATTTTATTTCTTTTTGGTTTATTTATGCACCACGACTTTCCCTATGGTTGGGCTTTTCCATAGAACGCCTTTCCCTTCTTTGCCCTGCCCTTCCCCTGGGTGTACATTTCCACACGCTTTTCCACCCTTTTTCCCCATGGGCAGGGGCAGGCACAAATGTTGCCCTGTAATACCATTTATTTCTATCCCCAAAGTCAAGTGGCAGCCGGAGAAAAGTTGCGGGCAAATTAATGAACTTTTCCCGCATTTTTCCTCCTCTCCGTGGGGTGGGGGGCATATGATTATAAAAAACTTTACTCTTAGGCTGCTCTGCTCCGGCCGGGAAAATTCTGCGCATGCATATCGCAAAAGTTCGTTCTCTCTCTGTTCTTTCGACACATTTCCATCTGGATTTTCGCATTTTCCATTTGGCCAGAGATCGCTTGCCCATGCCTCTCCCATTCCCATCGACCAGCCGGAGATTTTTCTGACCCACTTTTATGGCTCACGATTCCATCTTTGGGTTTGAGTTTGGATTTGGATTTGGAATTTCCTTCCCCTTTTTAATTGTAGTTTCTGCTTTTTCATTTTCCTCTGGTTTGGTCTGCCTTTTCTGCTGCTTTGTGTGTGCCATCGCTTTGGCCAGATAAATAGCCATGGGCGCTGTGTTATGGCCATGAATAAAATATTGAAAGAGTATTTTGCATTGTGTTTTGTGTGCGGAGTCTTGGTTTTGGCTTTTCTTTCTTTTTCCGACAGCTGCAGACAGGCGACTGTGGAAGATACATTTTGTATTCGGCATTCAGTTGATGAGATTTCGAGTTTTGGCGGCTTAAATTACTGAGAATTAATAAAAGTGAAAGGAAAGGTTGGAGATACTTTTTGGGGGGGATTTTGCATAAGAAAATATGAGATTTTTTTGATTAAGAGTAAAGATACATATTTGCATTTTGTAGGCAGAGGTTTTGGGTGGAATGAATCCTTAAATGTATCTTTGAAATGTTAGATATACTTTCAAGAGAATTTAAATCGAACAAGATACATCTTTGCAACCAAAGCTACCCTTAAAAATCTTTAAATTGGTAAAAGATACTTGGGAATCTATTATTTTTCTTCCATTTTCTCCCCAAAGAATAATGCTCGTCTTCGGCTGTTCCTCCTTTTTCCTTCCAAGACTTTCTCCGCGGATGACTCCACTTTCCTACATTTATCCCACATTTTCACGGCTATGGTGTATATATCTGTACCGTTAATTTAGTCATAGCATTTACGGCTAATTTGGATAATTCGCACTCCAAAAGTGGCCAAAAAAAAGGGGGGAAAAGACCTGAAAAAACATGCTGCTGTTGTTTTTTGTTTTAACGCCAACCGGCAACAACAACAAAATCGTGCAGTTCAGGGCCTGGGTAGGTCTGTTTTTTTTTTCTTAATTGAAAGACCAGCAAAGGCCGGGAAAGGAGTGGGGTCTTGGACAGAGGTAGAGCGTTGAGGGCTTCGAGTGAGAGGTCCAAGCGTGGGAGGCCTCTCTGGCGAAGGGAAACCCGTCAAAAGGGGGAGAAAAAGGTCAAACCAGGTACTGAAAACGAGGCATCGGAACAGAGAGCCCAAAACAGCTGCGTTGCATTTGGCTTTTGGCCCCGTTATTGGATCTGTGACTGGAACTCTGCGAACTGGGATTTCGAGCCCCACGGCAGCTGCTGGGAATTCACTCAGTCGTGAGTTTCGTTCGACTCGCAGGGGAGGAGGGATAGGAGGGAGAGGCCCCACCAGGAGTTGACTTGATTAAAGATTTCACACTTGATTAAACACCACTGTGTGTGGAGGAGACCCAATAGCAGCGTGATTTTCTGGCAAGAGCCAGAGCCAGAGGCAGAAGAGGCAGAGGGCACTGTACTGTGGCTCCCTTTTCCCCTCCGGCCAGTTTCAAGTTCATTTCCAGCAACTGGAGGATTGGGAGATGGGAGATTCCTTTTCTGTTTTGTTTTCTCTTGTAGTTTTCCATCGATTCGACCTCACATTTTCCATATATTTTCGTACATTTTTTTGTGCAGCGTTTAAGGTTTTTTAACTCCTTTGTTTTGTCCATCAAATTTGTTGGTCAAGGTAAGTCCTCGATGGAGGCAAACGATGGACAATTTTGGCATTGAAAAACGTATAGCCAGGGGACTAGTGGATCCTGTCTGCCACATACAATATTTACAGACACTGTTGCTTCCTCTGCGGATTTTATTGGATATTTCTTAGTGTGTTTTTTGGGCATTGTTTAAAAAACGAATTTGTCTGTAATAAAAACCTTTAAGGTCTATCGAAATAAAATCAAGATTATTCCTTTTTAAATAAATGAATTCAAAAATAAATAAAATACAAAATAAAGTAAAAAACTATTTTTTAGTTTATTACTTCATTTTGTATTTTATGTGAAAATTTCTTTTTTTTTTAAGTACAAAATATTCCTAGAATAAAGAAAATAAAAATAACATATAAATTTTGAAAGAAAAATTCGAATAAAATATAAAATTATGCGTTAATAACGTTATAACATTTAATAAAAAAGTGCAATTGAAATTATGTGGAAAAATTCTAATAAAAATTAAAATTAAATTAAAAAAGTATTAAAATTATTAAATTATTTAAAAGTCCATTAAAAAGTTGAAAATTATTTTGCCGTTACCAAAAATTTATAGATTTATAAAAAATATTTCTAAAAAGTATAAATAAAGACTTATTTATTGGCGGAACAGTTTCTAAATTTTTTAATTGAATATATTCCCTTTCCTTCTTGAATATATCATTTTAAATACATATTCCCTATTAATTTGTTCCCATTTCCCCTGTTTTCTCCTCATAGACTAACCCACAAAATGATGGCCAAAACCCTTTCAATTAGTTTGAATAAATGAATACTATTCATATCCATTTGTAGAAGAGCCCAAAGTATCTCATAACGAAGCCAGAAAGTATCTTATAACTAAACCTACAAGTAGCTGCTATCTAAGCCGAAATTAGGCCGAGAAGTATCTGGAAACTAAAACCAAAAGCCATATCATTATTCATAAACCAAAAACAATCTCGGAAAAGGGCTTCCAAATAATAACATTTTCTCCGTCTCTCCTTTTGCAGTTAATGGTACTTCTGAGAAGCTTTTTCCCCCGACAGCACCAGAAGCAGAGGAGGTAAGCCATGGCATATTTTCCTTTTCCTTTTTTGGGCACATGTGCGTGTGTGTGTGCCCCAGGGGATGCATCGGTATCAATCTTAATTTATAACAAATTTAATATGGTTCAGTGTTTTTGCGAGGGAGTGGAGAAGGGTGCTTCAGCCGCAGGATTCGTGCCAAAATCAAGGCCAGTGGAAGCCTATACCATATGCTGTGGAGGGTCTTCTACTTGTATTCTGTCTCCCACTTGACGGGAGGACTCTCTCTCTTACTCTGAGAATCCTCTGTCTGTCTCTCTGACACCCCATGCAAATGTGCAATGTGTTTTTTCGATCTGGTTTCTGGGGATTCGGTTTTTCGTTACCACAGATTTTTGCCACCCGACAGCAGCCCCTGCAGCAGCATCAACATTGGGTCTTAAATCCTGTGCGTCAACGCCCGTAAATATGCCACAAAAAATATTGAAATGGTAGCCGGCTCGGCTCGACTGCGGCACATGGATCGGCCGGTCCTGTGGGGTCCTGAAACTTGTACACTTAAGTGATTTTATGGCGCCATTCAAATGTTTTTCAAATCAGCCAAAAACGTGAAACGCGTTTACTTTTTTGTTGCTGCGACTTGTGCGGGGTTCTTCCCAAGAGGCGGAAAAACAAATGCCATAAATTTCAACTCAACGCCATGAGGTAGGCTTTTGCTTAGGCAACCATTCCTCCATCCTTTCTGTGGAAATACCACTCCCTATAGCCGTATCTTTACACCACTCGGCCGTTTCTCTGCCTTCTTTTGGCCACATTCCTACCTTCTGTGAATCCTTGTGGCTGTAAAAACAAGTGGAAAACGTTTACCAGCAACAAGTAGCGAGAGCTTCGATGGCATATGCCACACATAAAGGGAAAAAGGGAAACCGAGAGAGAGAGGGAGAAAAGGAGAAAGGCGCTGTGCCCCGGAAGTGGGCGAATGTCTTATTTCCCTATCTGCTGGCAGCGCCTGACGTTCTGCCGATTTGTTTGGTCTTCTGATTGACTGACACCGCGATTGAGCGGCTAACCGACTGAATGACTGACTCGCTGAGTGAGCGATGAAGCAATTGAGTGAAAGACCGAAAGGGGACTGCCACAAGCATTTAGGGCATTGAATATTTTAGCGAAATGCGAGTCCCGAATCCCCATTAAAGCCCAGGTAATGTAATGCTCTCAGATTCGATAAATTATTATGGAATGTTGGGTGCGCTTGAGCGGAGGATTCACTTGGATGGCAGCTGAAGATTGTGCTGTTCGGTTGAAAGGTTACCAAAATATTTGTTCGGAATACGTAATGAAGCTCCTGCTGCCACTGGTAGTCTCATACAATCTTGGATATAAGCTAGCCAAAAGCCTAACCAAAAGGATCATTACCTATCCAAAAGGCTTTCCACCCTAACCCTTTCACATTGACAGCCATCAGTACGAGTATACTCCCCTCCTCAAATAATTATAATTTTCATCAAATTGTTTGCCCAAAAGGGGGATAATATTGTGCGTTTAGATGCGCCACCAAAAAGTGGGTTGAAAACTCCAGCAGGAATTCCTTCACCAAAAAGTAGAATATTCCTGGAGCCTTCAGACTACTCCTCAACCAAAAAGTATGAAGTTCTTCTAGCTATATCGCCACCAAGAAGTACAACATTTTTAGCTTCTTCTTACGCTTGAAAAATTTTAATATTCCTGCAGCCTGCAGCTGGCAGCCTACTCCTGCACCAAAAAGTATATAATTTTAACAGCTACATCCCCAAAAAAAATTATAGTAATCCAGCAGCTACTCCACCACCAAAAAGTAGAATATTCCCCGCTCTTTATGTACACACACACATGGCGTAAAGGCAAAGCATCAAAAAAACCGTATTGCTTATGGGGTGATCAACAGAGTCTGCAGCTACTCCTCAGCCAAAAAGTATAAAATTATTGCAGCATACTCCTCCCCTACAAAGTACAAAAAAATCTCTTTTCCTTATGGGGCGATCGCAAGCGTCTTATGTCCTCCTCCCATCAAGTATTCCCTGCGTATACGCAATGTTACAAAAGTTTCCTTCTACTTTATGGGGCGGCCGGATAAAAGTCTGTTGAAACAAATATTTGCAGTAGGGCCCCCCGCCCCCTCACGCATTTCGCGGCTAATGTATAAATAATTGCATGTCACTTGCCGACTGAACAAACACACCACCAATTCCTCAACTTTATTGTTGTCTGTTTTTTATGTTTTTTTGTTTTTATGTTTTTTATATATGTTATATATGTTATGTTTTTTTTATATTTCGGATTTGGATTGGGTTTTCGAGGTTTATATGCCGTTCGTGCGGTTCGTGTGTTGACAGCCAAACACCTCCACCATAATTGGCTGACTTTGGGGTGGAGGGGGATGTCTGTCATTATCATAATGCTGTATATAATTACCCCCATGTCCCCCAAGGCGACAGCACACAGCAGGCCCCCGCTCCAAAGAAGGGCACTGGAGGGCAAAATCCAAATTAAGACAGAATAAATATGTAATATTTCCCATACAGTGCAGGGCAGTCAGTGTTTATGTCACAATCGTTTATCAAAAAAAAGAAAAAAATCAAACATGAAATCACTGAAATACGCGGGAATCAAAGAGGACTGGGAACGGGGGGATTTGTTACGCTACCATCAGAGGCTCCCCCGCGCAGATTGCAATTGACAGTTGTCCTGCTGCGCGCTGACGGATGCTTCTTGAATAATGAAAAAACTATATAAACCCACACATATGTATGTATGTAGGGGGAAAAAATCTGCCTGAATAAATAAATAAAACATCGAACAGCAGCAATTAGCGCGGAAAGGGGCGTAGAAAGGGGGCCGTTAATAAAGTGTTGGTTTCACGGGGCTTTAAGCGGCTTTATATGTTGATTGCGGACCCCATTTAATTGAGCTATCTTTTTATACCCGACACTCAAAATGAGTACAGGGTGAAAGATTTTTGGTGAAACTGGATGTGTGTAACGTCCAGAAGGAAGCGTTTCCGACCCCAGCATAAATAGCCCAGTTGCTTCGGCCAAGTTGCCTTCCCGTGGCGTCTTCTGGTGTGAAGATTGTATACTCATCTCCATTACTGGTTAAAATAAAAAATTTCAAGAATCTCACACAAACGTCTCCGCTGCAGTGGGTGGAAAAAAAGTTCTATGTTCAAAAACCAAAAAAAGGTTCAAGGTACACGGGCTCTCAAAAATATTAATTTATTGTTAATATGGGGTAGCACACACATTTCTATTGTCGGCTATCTTAGGACTTAGAACGGGGTACCCTTTGAGAGATGGAATTAAAAAATCATCCAAAAATACATTGGAGATGAGCCTAGCTTCGTTTCGTTTAGTGTTTTGTATGTTTTGGTGCATGAAAATGTGTTTAAAATTGTGTGGAGATTGATTACTTCTAAGTTTCTAATCTTCGTCATCCAGAACTTGCCGGATTTGAAAATCCTCTAGATTCTCTTGTGGAATGAGTCGCAGTTTCATGTCGTTGGCCAAATGGAGAACCGCATAGAGGGCCACCGATGGGGACAGAGAATCTTTCATCTTGTCACTCAAGACATCAGGCAAGGATCGGTAAACCTCCTGGAAGCTGGCGGTACCCTTCGCGTAGCTTTCTTCCTTTGGCACTGAGTGGGAGGGTACCGAGGTCTCATCGACAGGATTCAGGAGCTGTTTCTGGATCAAAGAATGGCAGCTTTTCTTGAGATTCTTCATGTCGATCACCTTGGCACGCTTCGCAAATGGCACAATTACTTTGGTGACCTGAAAAAGAACCAAATAAATGATATTTTAGACACCCTTGGGAATAGTATGTCCCTCAAAGACCCACCTGCCTTGGTGCATCGTTAAATTCGGTGGATATCTCCAAGATTGTATCGTCATCCTTATGGATGCTTTGGCTTTGATTGAGCCTATCCTCACATGAATCCTCATTCATCATGTCCATGGTATTTTCAATGCCCGCTGCCGACATTCGGTTCCTGACAGGATCATCTGTGGTGAAATGTTCGTTGTCAGAGAGCTCTATGTCGGCATCGTCGTGGTGGGAGCCCCCATCCATATCCGTATCATTTTCCAGTCCCTCAACCAGATCGGCTTCTCCAAAACTCTGGCTAACTTTAACACCCGGCGCCGAGTCGTATTTTAGAAAGTAATCCGCTTCAAAGTTGAATTTTGTGGGCCGCACCACCTTTCGGGCATCCCATTTCTTTTCATTGACCTTTCGCTGCTTTTTTTTGTTAGCATTGAGGGGCTGGAATAACTCCTTGTTGAACTTTCCATAGTGCAGATTCTTAATGCGTCGCTTGGAGGTGGCTGCCGCCGTTTTCTTTGGTTTAGCAGCCATAGGTCCATTCGTCTCGGCCAGAGTGGTGAGCGGACGAGTGCGCCTGAATTTCCAATGCGCTGGACCCGCCCAAAACTGTCGGATTCTGTCCATGGGCCTGTAAGAGTAGTCCAGGCTAGTCACACCATCCACTGGCCTCAGATCGTCAATGACCCCGGCCGTTTTGCTCAAACGCGTCTGCTCCTCGGCGGTGAGATCCTGCAAATCATTCGATTGTATATCTATGATAATGGGTGGACTTGCCTCCATATCCGGCATGGGCTCACACTCGGCATTCATGTCAAATGCTACTGATATATCTGTGGGATTCACACCGAAGTCGTCCGCATTATCCAGCCCCTCAGCAGCGTCATTACATGTGGGGGCCGCCTCTGAAATAGATCCCGACTGTGGCTTGGGATTGGGAGCACTGCTTATCACGTAGCCCGTGTGGAGTGGCCGCAGATTTAGTTTGTCCATATGGTTGTACAGCTTAGGCAGCCATTCCGCATTGCACAACTCTTCATTGGCCCACTGCTTGGTGCCAGCACTCAGCGTTTCGCTGTCCATGAGCTCATCCGTCTCCTCCGTCGTATCCCAGAATTTGTGGGTCGTGCGTAGCCGCATTTCAGAGTCCACGCTGGGCAGAATGTTGTGCATCAGGCGA